ACACTTTATATAGCTAAATAAAACTTTTTGTTTGTTTTCTCAAAAATCTAACTATTCTGAATCTAATTTTCACTAATAGTTACTGATGGAAATAATTCGCTCCCTTCTTTAGGTCATCTACTAATGCTACTCTGATTTCTAAAAATCTGTATTATTATAACTCATACAACATTCAAATTTCTGAAAGGTCTTTCATCTGATGGACCAGAAACCTGAAAAAATGAGAGGAAGTTTGCCTCATGGTTTCCAGACAAATTAGTCATCTAGAGTGTGTAAGGGAAAACCATGCTTCACATCCTGTTCATGTGTTACATCTTCCTCAGCCTCACGTAGACAGTTCACCGGGGATACATTGCATCTTAGTTTGGACACAGGCAAAATCAGGGATGAGTATAGCCTATGCTTTAATTTATAGCTACTTCTTAAAAGAATTAAATGCTGAGGTAACAGAAGTATCTTTTCTGTACTGCATAACCTTATGCTTCTGTTTGATTGGGCTTATATGCTATAGATCTTTAAAATTTCTCAAATGAGCTAATGGCAGCTGTGCGCATATGGCAGCTAAGTTCTTTGTATAACCTTTCCTAACAGCTGTGCCTGAATTTGTCAAGGACCCTCCTTCCTGCCCCGGAGCAAGGAGGAATTACGTAGTCTAATGAATGAGTGATACAGGAAAATGAATGAGAAATGAACGAAATTTGAGGGGATGAAATAGGTGTTAGCTGTGCTTTGAGAGAAACAGATATTAATTACAAAACAGATATAATTACAAAAGGGTTTGTATGCCATTGCAGTGTAGCGGATGACTGCTGTGTGTTAATGGGGGAAGAAACGTGTTAAATATAAGCAAAGGGTGCAATACTGTGTGACTGAGTGTGAATGCAGTGAGGAAAACGAGAAACACTGTTCAGCTGAGCAAGAAGCGGAGGTTGACGGACGCAGCAGCCCTCGGCGGCCGGGGAGGGCAGTGTGCGGGGAGGGCGGGCCGTTGGCCGCCTCGGGCGGGCGGGGCGCGCTGATTGGATCCGTCGCCGTTCCTATGGCAATGTGCCCGCTCGGCGTCTCTTGTTGCGGTTTTCATGGTGACGGGGCCTGCAGCTGCGAGCCGGCGCTTGTGCGAGTGGGTACCGGGAGCGGCTGGCCGGGACGGTACCGGGCTGCTCTGCGAGCGTCCCCTGGAAGGTGCAGAACAGGCTCCTGTTCTGCTGTGGTGCACCGTGTCCTTCAGAGCACCCCCCCAACACAGCACCCACAGCTTTGCCGCCACTCCAGGTACTCATGGTCCCTTGCACTCTCCCGCTGATAAGCACGCTGCCTCTAAGGCCTAAACATGGAGTTCTGCTGTGGTGTGCGTTTCTCTACTGCCTTCTTCAAAAGAACTTGCCCTCGACAATGCTTCTGCCATCTGCTATTCTGTCTCACAGTGACAGGGCCTCTGGGCCCTCCTCCTAGGATCTGCTTCCTGCCTCTTCTCTCTTGCCCCACAGGTGTTTTCTTTCCATCTTTTCTGTTTATGCCTTTCCTTCTCTCCACTTCAATTGTATGATCCTCTAGTCTTACTTGGTTCCTAGTTTACCTGCAGTTGCCCCTTCCTGTCATTCCAGAGGATATCTCCTCTAGGGAACCTCTTATTGGTGCTTCTCAAGTTGGTCATCCTCTGTCAACTTTCTTGGACCTCTACTAGGGTATGTACCTATCTCTCAGGCTTAGGGTAGCTGCTTCTTTCTGCCATGCCTTGTCTCTCCCTTAGGGCAGTTCTCTATGCCTTCCACCCTTTTCCCTGGTCCTGCCTAATGATAGAGTCTGACAGCAGGCTATCAGATATCTTTATAGTCTTCCACCTGTGTTGCTAGCTGTGCTGTCCTGTTTCTGTTTGATCAGAGAGTCCTATTATATAGACATCCCAGGTTTCTTTTGTATGTATTTGGTCCTTATCCAGCTTATACTGCTTTGTCTGTGCCTACAAGAATGTATAATGATAAATGATTGCTGTCTTGTCTGTCTAACCTTATAATTAGCAAAAAAGCTACTAGCAATAAGAAAAGAGATCTAATAAATCATTTTTATAAAATGATTATATGATTTATATATGATATATATTATGATTAATAATATACATTATGATATATACGATATATATGATTATAAAAGATTCAAATATATATTATTATAATTATATTATATATTCAAATATATCTTTTATATATATGATTATAAAAATTATTCAAATAAAGTTTTGAAAGGAGAAGATGTGATAGCAGCTTACTAGATACTGTTTTATTAGTTTAGCAAATGCAATAGCTTTACAAATAGTTTCTATTAGGCATATCTTACATTGTTGTTGTAGTAAGTTATATGCAGAGTGCAGGAGAGAAAAGTACCACTCCTTTATAATTTGAACAAGAACTTTAAGTCTTTAAGCTCCTTTGACAAAATAGGGAAGTCTAAATATTCTTCAGCTCTTACTTTGTGTTATTTTTCAGTATCACAATGTTCTCTGTTTTTGGAAAGTGGCTAGCTCAAACACAGCATCTTATTTATTGGTGCTGAAGTAGGATTTAGTAATAACAGCTGTGAAATCTCTACTGAATCGAATGTGCCAATATCTGATAGCACACAATAGCATTCAATTGTTTTTTATTTACAACAGAGCTGTCATGTTTGGTAAAATGGTGCTTTTCAGGAGCTAAGGGAAATCCTGTTTGGCCCCTATGCATGGGATTGGGAGTTCAATTGTCTCCTGGATATGTTTGAGGTAAATGATGGGATTATACTGGATATCTTTACAACAAGCACATTCTACCAGCATGACCTAAACAGTAATGTGATGTCTATTACTTAGCTCTGTGCTGATTTGTAGGTCATCCTTTAGGGTTGTTGTTGTTGTTCCCTTTGACTGTAAGACATGTAGGAAATGGTGCAAAATTATACGCTATAATTTCCATTATGGGACCGTGTGTGTTTGTGGATCATCTTAGAAAAATAACATATTTCCATTCGTGCTCAGTCATATTTTTATGTGATATTGATGAATTTTATGTTACGTATAACCCACAAAACCTATGAAAGATACCGCTTTTAATTTATTAAATTTTAGTTTATTAAATATTTTGGGAAAAAATAGAGGAAACTGCATGGGAACTTTTTAATTTTAAGGTAATTGTAGAGGGAGATTGCATTATAAATATCTCATCTAACTACTTCCCTTTAGAAACAAAGAGGGGAAAACTTCTGTTTGATAATTTCAGGGCTGCATAATAGGTTGGAAGTGTGATCTTATCTTTGTTTCCTTGCACAAAGGTCTTGTCTGATAATGTGTTTCTAAGTTTTGTTTATGAAACATGTGTTTTCTTTTATTTTTAAAGGCACTTATGAAATTGCCTAGATATTGTCTTGAATATAAACTCAGGGCCTTTCTTTCAGGGCCTTTAGAAATACAGTTCAGATACAATCTCATAAATACTTGAATTTATATTTGTTATATTTATGATCAGAGAAAAAAATGTCAGATTTAGTTAATATTTTTAACTGTCATAGCTATCACAGGACATCAGGATCAACAACAGCTGAATGAAAGCTATCTTTCTGTAGCGTTGTGGGTTTCAGGCAAAGAGACAATACTGGTACTACTGTACTCAATACGACTGTATTCAATACTGTGAATATCCAGTACAGTGACTTTACAGAAAAAAAAATATTTCTGCTTACCTAAATTTAAAATATATATATATATTATTTTTACTGTTTTCATACCTTATTTCAATTTGAAGACTAACAACAAAAAGCACAGTCTGAAGAGAATGTGTACTTTAATTGCCTTGAGGATAAATGTAACAGTGAGATCTAGGCAAGCAGAACTAAAAGACCACCAGACCACTGTGTCCTGTAGCAGTTTTTGTTATTCAGTGTGCCTGAGAAAAACAAAGTTGACTTTTATTATGCTTGCCACTTCCAACTGTCAGAGATTCATTTTCTGACCCTCTAGCATTAGTTTTATGTAGTCTGTGAGAAAAATAGTGTTTGAATTGGGGCATTCTTTTGCAGGAGAGATGCTGCATCATGTTTGCTGATCTGGAAATCTCTTGCATTTAAAGAGATTAAAGAAACATTGTTTGACAGGCACGCTTGCCTGATTTATTGTTTCCTCTAGCCTGTGCTTATCCAGACAGGATTCAGTATAACTACTGACACAGAATAATACTGTGCTGTGAGAGAAGCTGTATTGACTCTGGAGATTTGCAAAAATATGCTGAGCAGAGTTTAATTTTTCTTTTGTTTTCTTATTTTGTTCTCTCTGAATCAAAATGAATAATACATCTCTTAGAATTGATGGATATTCTTCTACACAGTTTATAATTAGGTATGAGGCAGATATGGATAATAGGTGGATGTGAAGCAGATAAACGAACACATGACCTCTGTATTGTTTGTTTATTTTTAAAGATGCAATTAATATGTTTCTTAAGTTCAGCTATTTCATCATACCTGTTGGGCTTTCTGAAAAGTGATCTGGAGATGGATTTGACAGAGGACAGCACAAGGAACTTTATAGTCCGTGGTTAGGAAATGAGAGGGAGGGGCAGACCGGAAAGTGTGTCAAGATAATTGTGAGAAGGCAAATGGGATAGGGAAATTAAAATTTTAATGGATAGAAACACCTACTGGGCTTTGCAGTATGAAGATTAGTCAAATCATAATTGTTTTCTACGATTGTCTTAAAGAGATGAGAAATACACATGCAATTTACAACTCTTTTGGGAGTATACTCTTCTGATTTTTCAGTGAAAGGACAGGATTTCTCTGAATGAATAAATGCTTGTTTTTTTCCACCTGTTTAAAAGGGCAAAGAATATGCTTCCCCATTGTAGTGGCATTGTAATAGTTAGATTGGAAAAATGTTTCCTTTGATAATTCATTAATATAAATAAGAAAGAATTGTGCCTCTAGAAATTATTGTTAACTGATATTCCAGGAAAATTTTAGAATTGAAATTTAAAATTTATTAATAATCAGTTATGCTGTAGATAGATAACTTAAATATATTCTCGCAGTCTTAATTGTCTTCTATCATCTTTTGGTTTAGATTAATAATAGAGTTACAAATGGAAAATGAGGTGCGTAAGTGGAAAGAAAAAAAATGGAAAGAACTACAGGCTTGCAAGTTCTTCTGTCAAAAGATAGCACTGCAGGACGTCAGGAAGCAACCACGAGACATGCATGAAAAATATAACAAATTGAAAGAAGATTTTGTCTATAATCTGAGAATTCTGGAAGAGAGAGATAAAGAGTTAGAACACTATGATGCCATGATCACTCATCTGAAAGCTTCTGAAAATGCTAAAAAGGCAGAGATTAGTGATCTTAGAATACAGCTAGATGAACTGGAGCAAGCACTTGTGAAGGAAAGAAAAAAACAAGAGGAAATGTATCACTATCAACCAAATCATAAAGACCATAAATTACAGCTGTAATGGTCTTGCAGGTGAGATGTGACTCGCTTAAAATGCTTTGCAGGAAATGAGAAACCTAGTTTCTTTAGGATATGTTTAGATGAGAGTAAAGCAGTAATATAATTCATACATTAGAGAGCACTTTGAGCATGGAGATTTGATCATTTGCTCTGACAGAGGAATTCCTAGAGCATGAATGGAATAAGGGCATACAGAAGTGACTCAGGCTGTCTTTGCATCTTCTTTATCCTGGTTATTTTTTTAATTATTTTTCTCCACAGGAGACTTGTACAATGTCTGTAAATATATTTAAGAAGGCTTGATGTTAAGTAAAAGTAAGGACACTGTTAAACAGCATGCCCCTATTTACAAGAGGTATTTACTAGGGGTGTATCCTGTGGAGATGGTATGATGAGGGGAGAGATGTGGTGTGGGGAATTGAAAAAGTTTTTTCAGAGGGGGACGCTTTTTCCATGGGGACTGAGGTGAGTCTGAAACTGTTGTAATATATGTCCCCTATGTATTATATCGAGATACGTTTGTCTACTTTGTATGCAAAGTGTTAAATAATAACTTTCTCTGCTATTACTGATGCTAATATGTAAGATTGCTAAACAGTAATTGCTTTATTGTGCTGCAGATTCAATGTACAGTTCAGCCTTTCAATTGTTTTAGGCTATTGCAAGTCACTCCTCTGATAGGAATTGGGTTTGGGGGCTGTTGAGTGCATCTTGTCCCATGTTCTCTGATAGGCTTCCTTGCAGGAAAGAAATCCTTTGGGGCATATCCAGTCTCAAGGCTAAATCTCAAGGTTTATGTCTTATCTAACCAATTAAAAGATCAAGGTAGCCGAAGAGTGTACTTAATTTTGCCATTCTCAATTATTTTTATTTCTCTATATATATTTGTAAACCTTGGAAAAAAAGTGTACATACTTCTTTCTTGGTTCTTTTCTAATAGAACTACTGTCTTCAGTTTAAGTATCTTTGATTTACTTTCTGTGATAAAATCTTCTCATGTAGACTGCATTTATAAAATAGAGATAGCTGGATTAGTTATTCATAACTTACCAGTTATTAGAAGTGGTCTGGACATTTTTTCTGTAATGGTTACAAATACAAATGGATAGGTTTCTCTCTTTATGACTTTTTAGGTATCATCACTCAACAATGAAAGTTTAACATTATTAGTAAGTATCATCATCCCTAATTCCAAACTTAAGTACTTAAATAAATATATCCAATACAAACTCTTGAGTAACAAATATAAGAAGCACAGACGGTAACAGAAAGGAAGAGGCAGTTTTGGCCTGAATTGCTGCATTATGAAGATACTCAAAATATTTACTCTTCAAACAAGGTCATGGAGTTCTTGCTCTACATCAGTATACCCAATGTCTTTTCAACAAGACCTGGTTACATTTTGGATTACTAGAGTCTACAGATATTAATATATCCAGGTTACTGGAAGACTTAAATACAAGATAGATTTGAGGGGGAAATAGGAGGAGTAGCCAATTTAAATGGCATACTGCCATGTGTTTGAATTCATAACAAGTGGCATACAGCTATATTTTCTTCTAAGGTTCCAAAATAAAAGATCAAGGATTCCTCAGTCTCTCCTGTGCTCAGCAACTTGATCTCTAACAAGCTGGCCAATTCTATTATTGCTAACTTGGAAAAGTGATCTTTATTTTCATGTTCATTAAGGAACTTCCTAATGATTAGTGGTCACCTCTTCTGTGACTTATAAACTTGGTTTAGGAACAAGGCATTTCCACTGTAACTAACTGATGCAGTGCATATAGTCTGTTTAAAATTTAGAAAAACTTATATAAAACAACTCGAACTGTTGATTGCTAATAGCAATATGTGGAGTAGTCATCTAAATTAACATGAGAAGAGTAAAGACTTGTGTTCTTGTTATATCAGCTGTGAAAGATGTGTAGATTTTACATTGCTAAGGACTAGGAAGTAAGACGGGTATGTTGTTCTTATCTGTTACTTGCTCTTTTTTTCGAGGAGGGGAAAAAAAAAGGAGTTGGAGATAGATGTGGTGGGGTTTGTTTGTTAGTTTTTTCTTCCATCAGAATGAAAAGTTTCATTTTCTTTTTGAGCAGTGAAACCTCTCTTATTTCAGCAAGGGAAGAGAAAGGTGCATTTCAAACAGGACTTTCATGGAGAAATTATATTCTGGATGTACGTATTCATACAACTTGAAGGTTTATAAGCAAAGTTACAAACTGTCTACCCTGCAGAGTGATATTGCAACTCTACTGGCAGTAGAGGTTGTGTTAGGACAAGTTCTGTTCAAGTCTGCTGCTGCCAATCTTTTATATTATCACGCTGACCTTTTCTCTATGCTTGCTTACAGAAACTCCTTCCCCATCTTGACTTCTTGACTGTGGCCAGTGTCTAAAATGACTTACTAGTAGGAGAATATGCAGCCCAAGAAAGCTTTTCTCAGAAATTATTATTACTAGAGTCTGTGGAAATAATGGGGCTATTTTTTTCCCTTTAACCTGTAATTAGTCCAGATTATTTTGTTTTTAAATGACTTCTCATGAGTCTCTGTCAGTCAATAAATAAAGGGGACACAAATGCATGTCTAACATAATGTAAGGTCAAACAACTTTAAAAAAAAGTTTATATTTTCGTTCTGCTGCTTGCCAGAATGTACCTTTACTCGGAAGAGCACTTAAGAGTCACGTTGAGTGACAAGTTCAGCAAGCTCTGAGGTGAATGCTGCAACTAACAGATTGTACAGGATATCCAAAGGTATCACCAAGGGCATACCTGTGGGATTAAAGACCATGTATTATCTTTTGACTTTGGCAATGCATACAGTTCCAGATCTATTGGAGAGGAGGGCATAGGGAAAAGATGTGGAGAGCAACTTGTATTATAGAGAGCAATCAAGTTGGAATCTTGTGGAGCTTCACCAATGAACACTTTCTGTGATAGGCTGAGGGGAAGACTAAGTGTGTGGAGTAGGTTTGCATAAAAGAGGATGTCTAGTAAGAGTGCTATTCAAACCCTAGTAAAACCTTAGTGGCTGAGAGTTATACTGACTTATGCTTAAGCTGTTGAAACAATACTGGGTTCGTTGGTTTATTTTTTGTTTACTTTGTTTTTTTCTGCTAAGGGAAATGAAAAATGGACTAATTTATCAAGAGCTATGATATACTTTGCATTGCTTCACCTCTTGAGAAGAGATTGAACATCTTGGAAAAAAACAGCAAAAGTTTATATACTGTGTTACAAGAGAGATTGAGCAATTAGATCATAATCAATCATATTGTTTTAAATAGGTTGTTCACTTATGTGCATGATAATTTAAAAAATATTGATTTCTAGTGATCTGTAGTAAAAGATGGATTAGTTTGTTTTATAATGGTGATTGTTCTCTAGGAACTTATTTCATCTCATATTTCTAATTATGTGCAATTTACTGTTCAACAGACCCCCTTCTCCTACTTCCCGCAATTCCCCCTTCCCCCCCCCAAAAAAAAAAAAAAGAAATGCATGCCTCTTTTGGAGGCAGTCTTTAATGTAAAGTTGTTTTATTTTTGTTTATAGGTTTAAGAACAGCAGGATAGGTCATCAGTGTGAGGACTGTTTGAGTCTAAAACATGTCATGGAAAGAAAACTCCAAGAACTGGAAGGAGAACTTGTGTGTCAGAAACAGGTATAAAAATATGCAGGAACAATGATGTGTTAGTGCGCCACCTAGCAAACTATGCTTCTGTGTTAGCATGCTCTGGTTTAAAATAGTTGTTTAAGCTTTCATTTTTGCCTTTTTATTTAAATTAACAAGATGTGTGATGACAGTTTAGAAATGTTTTAGACTTCTAGATCTTATTTAGTGTCTGTATGGTAGCTTCACTTATCTGGCAGCTGCCGCTTGTGAGGAACTGTTACAAATGTGTTTAGTAATCTGAGATAGTGTAAGATTCTTTTAAGTATGTATGCAGCGCAGTGCTGCTTGTTAACCTTGAAACTTAAGCCAAGGTCAGCATTTAGAAAGCAGAGACAGCTTTAGGCAAGTTTGGTAGATATGATTGTTGTGTGTGTCATACTCCTATTTTCAAATGTGGGGTCTTTTTTTGTTTGTTTCTTTTTTCTCCTTTGCTTCTTAAATTACTATCCTTTCATCATAAAAGAATAGTTCAATCAACTGATAGAGAAGCTGTTGAGCTTTTATTGTAAAAACTTAATTGTAAAAACAACAAAATTTTCCTTATTTTTATATTAAAATGTATTTATGTTACTATAGTTTCTATAAAATAATTAATTAAATAATTAGTTAAAATGGTTAATTTTTGGTAGATCATCAAAACCAGTATGTGTAATATAAATTAGAAAGGTAGGAGATATTGCTGTTGAATTGCAGCTTGAACCTACTCAGCCCGATCTCGCTGTACTCAGAACAATAGTTCTGATGAAACAAACGATTTTCATCTAGGAGTCTGACTCCCATTTGGTCCCACTGATAGCTTTTGAATCTGCATTAGGGAGTGTGAGCACTTTTCCCTTAAAAAACACTAGATAATTGACTTAATTTAGAAGTTATCTTTGTGTGTGTGGTTAAATAAATTATAAATTAAATTATAAAACTGATTAGATGTCCCTTGAGTATAAGGCCACATGACCTAATGCACACCATTTATAGTAACTCTTTTTTTTTTTTTTTTTTTTTTTTTTTTTTTTTTTTTTTTTTTTTTTTTTTTATTTTTTTTTTTTTTTTTTTTTCCTGTGTTCTTTTTTTTTTCTCTTGCTGTTGAGTCTCTATCATGAATCATAGATAGCAATCCTGGAAGTAGTATCTTACAGATACTTTTTTTAAATGTTTCACTATTTCAACAGCTGTAAAGTAAGAACAACAGTTCTTTCTTTACAACAGTTCAACAGTAAGAAGCTTTTCCCATAGCTTTCTCTCTCCCAGCAAACCTCATGTCAGTTTGCTATCTCCAGTATGAAAATACTGTGGTATGTTTTACTCTTCAGTGAGGCTTTAATTTTTTTTTATTTAGCTTTTTAGTAGGTCAATATTTATTCCCTTTGAGAGCATCTTGACTGCAACCAAGATTTTCCCAACTAAAATCAGTGCATTGTCTTGCTTGACTTGAACAAAAAGCTTAGACATGGGTTTATAAATTTCTATAATGTACTTTTACCATGTTTCTTGTGTAGTTTGTCAGTGGCCATTTTTTACGTATGTTTTAGTACTGTTTTTTGTCATCATCCTGCAGAAGTGAAATGTTTATCATCATTCTTTTCCTATGTGTGTATATATATGTACACATACTCTCATGCAGACATCTAAGTTTGCTTATAAGAAAATTGATGTCCTAACTGCTGGTAATAGATTGTCCATTTAAAAAAAAAAAAAAAAAAAAAAAAAAAAAAGGTTTCCTCTATTTATGTGCTTATGGCATTTAGTACTCTTGTCAATGGACTTTTCTGTTTAGACTTATTTTATATTTAAAATCTTAATCTTAAAATTGTGTCAAACAGGGCCGAAGCAAATCTGAAGTAAATTCTCTTTGTGCAGTATGAGCTAGTCCAAACCAATTTGCTATCTGCAGATAATATGACTCATTTCTGAATAATATGCCTAGTTAAAAACAATCAAGAAAACAAAAACAAAACAAACCAACCAAACAAAAAACCTTCTCTTCCCTGCTCATCTGAGAATTAAAAGAAAATGTGGATATTTCCATACTAGATAGCCTTTGTACTGCAAATACTAAGATATCTAGAAATAAAACTCTATAGGAGTCTCTATATATTTTTTCATATTGTTATGGAATGGGAGGTCATTTTATACAGGATGTCTTTTTGCTGTTGTATTTCTATAAACTCTGCCTAAGATGTGCAAGTCTTATTGGGGGAGCTAGTGTAGACCAGATGGTCGGTTTCATTCAGAGTGTTCTGTTCCTCAGTAGAGCAGAGAAATATGGTGTAATGATTTTTAAAAAGTATAGTGTTTCTCCATCAGTACGTTTCTATTAGCTTTACCTATCTACTATTCCCATTGTTGTAGGAACTGCAATCTGAATTTGATGCAGAAATGAAAAGACAAGAATGTGAGTTTCGACAGCAGACGAACAAGATGAGTAACTTAGTTCTGTCCCATGAAGCTAAAGTAAGTTATTTTAAACTGCTATGCTTTACTCACAGAGTAAATTAGTTTATTATAGTCTCGAGTTACTCCTGCATGAAACACATGAAATTATGATGGTGCTAACTTTATGTTTCCCCCTTCCACATGTGTATTAAACTACTACTTTCCAGGCCAAGAGGAAGCAGAGCAGAGGTACTTGCAATGTGCATCTTAACTTTGTTCTTAGTGACCATGTTTTTTCCCTGTATAAATAGAAAAATTGTTTAGGTCCTTGAAGTTTTCTATTTCATTTATTTCAAAGCTGCTGCTCTAATAATGGACTTAAAACTTTATATGGTTCTAGTGTTTTTTTTTTTTTTTTTTTTTTTTTTTTTTTGTGTGTGTGTGTGTGTGTTTGCTTTCTTGAGCAAGAACAAAAAATCCAAGCATTTTGGAAGAACAGTTCTTTACCTGAGGGGAAGAAATGGGTTAGAAAACAATTACTGTCTTGATCTGGATAGATTCACAGTGAGATTACAACCTTACTGAATTTTTTCCATTGGACTTGTTGTAAGCAGTTCATTTGAGACCCCAAGTTTAATTCAAAATATAGACATACATAGCCTGGAATGCATATTAATTAGAAGTTCTGGAATTCATTATGAGTCTGACCCTCTACTTGTTGATAAAAGGAGCAAAGCAGATGTAACCATTATACTTCCAAAAAAGCACAATGTGCTGTAGTATTGTGGCACTTCAGAATAGGTAGAATTATTTTCTGAGGTGTTCCTGAGACTGTTAGTTGAAATTTAGAGTCAATTTTGAAGTTTTTAATGTTAAAATTTTAGTTAAATACTTTAAAAACGCATAATTCAGCATATCTACTTAGTCATTCTGGAAGAGATTTCTTTCTCATTTTGGTGGTCATATCAGTCTTTTGGCAGATAAGTATTAAGAAAAGGCTTATGTAAAGAATGGGTGCAGTGCACCCTGCAGGGCAGTTGCAGGTGCTCAAGAGCAAATGAGTAAGAAGACTTTGCTGATGTGAAAAAGCAGTGTTAACCAAGGCTAAAGTGTTTTCTAAATACAGAAAATAGTTTGAAGACAACTTCCTGAAGACGACTTCCCGAAGATAACATTTACATTTAAATTGAGAGTCAAAATAGACCGGTAGGAAAAACTTATAAAGTAGATTGGTCTAATTTCATCTGAAACTGGACTTGATGCAAAAGCTGTACATTTCAAATACAAACAGAATAATGTTTGAGGAAGGATTCTTCTTTCACTGTAACCTGTCTCCTGCTGTTGAAAACACAGTTTTTGTGGTCACTTTTTTCTTTTTGTTGTTAATATACTTTGTCTCATTTTTCTGATCTGTAGGACACATAGTACCCATCTCATCAATAACATTTTCACTTCTGATTTATATGAAGGGAATAGTTTTTGTCTTTAAACAAACACCAAAAAGTGTTTGAGATTCTAAACTGGAATCTCTTATTTTTTCTCTAAAGGTGAAATATAATTGAAGGGGAAGAATTGTGGTTAAAATTGACAGTTCCAACTTCTTTCCAAAGAAAGAAGTTGGAAATATAGAAGTTTCTTCCAAAGAAAGAAGTTGGCAATATTGTTTATAATAAAATATTGTTTATAATAAAATATTGTTTATAATAAAATATTGTTCCAACTTCTTTCCAAACAATAGTGTGTTTGCTTTCCTCTGGTTCAGACCACTGTTGCAAGATAAGTTATAGATGCACACCGCTAGAGTATACCTACCATACAGTCCTTTCTTCAGATTTGTTTGGGATCCTGTGAGAGTGCTAGAAATACTACACAAGTCACGTCCTGAAGACTTTAACTAAGCAACAGATATGTGAAAAACAACAACCTGGAACTTCTTCCTTGAAACTGATTCTGACAATGACTTGGGCCATTGCTGCCTGCCTGGGGCATACTAATACCATGCAAATGCATAGATGACGATAGATTGTGTACAGCTTTGCTGTGCAATTTTCTGATCTTCTAACTAGATACTTTTCTTCTGGAGAAGACCCGGAGCAATTGTATTTGTGGTTCAAGCTTCATTGGCTCATATCTATGTTGCAGATTGGTATGGAGTTCTGGGACCCAAAATTCAGAAAATACCTGGTGAAGTACTAGTGCCTACTTATCTATCTATCTACTATTTATCTATCTACTTATTACTTACTTACTTCATCTTGGAAGAATTGTAAAAGCAAAATAAGAGTTATTCATATTTTCCAGGTTAACCGTGTACAGTACAGGATTCTTCCTGCTAGGAGGAAAAAAACACAATAGAGAGATGGACTGTAACACAGGCGTTGCTTTTGTGAAAGAAAACTTAATTTGAATGCTATTAGACTTCCATCGTTCAGATCATACTCCCAGAATATCCTTGTGACTGGGAACTGAGGGGGGAATGATGGAGACTAAGGGGGCAAAAAGTGGGGAATGATGGAGAGTAAAGAAGGAGGAGTGCTTAAGGCTGTACAGGGCATGGAGGTTATGATTTAAATATTTTGCTGACCAGTCCTTTCTACATGGGCTAACAAATTGCTTCTCCTTGTCAATTATCAGGACTTCTGCCTTGCAACAAACATTTGGAACTTTTGGGCTGAGCAGCATTACTAGCAGCATTCAGTACAAATATTCCAAACATATTAGACTGTTTTTTCCTTCTGAAAAAATCTCATCTGGGCTATCTGTAAATCAAGATTCGTTTAGTAACTATATTAGTTTATATTCCACCATTCCAGGAGTTTCTAATATTTCTTTTCCAAATGATATCTGGGTATCCTGGTTAGTAAAGGTTGGACTAGATGATCTCTAGTCCAACCTTGGACTAGATTTAAGGTCCCTTCCAACCTTAAATATTCTGTGATTCTGTGATCCTGTGCAGCTAACAAGTGTTTCCATCGATCAGAGAGGATTTTATGGAACGGAACTAAGCCTTGAACTCTCTGTTTTGATGAAACCATGTGAATTGAGATACAACAAAATGATCAAGAAATATGTTTACCACTTCCTAGGTGTTAGTAATTCTCTATTTATCCTTTTATGTCCTATTATGTTTTCCTTAAACATGTGTTGCTGACTGCCATCAGAATTTGGATGCTGGAGTAGGAAGCCTTTGGTAAAGCAATTATCAAAGTTTATGGCCTAGAGCATTTCACATTCTTGTTCTGATTGGAGCATCATCTTATTTGCATGCAGCTTTCCAAACTAAATATCAAAGACAATTTGCAAAGCTGTTTGCAGTCTATATAGAAAACATCAAGCAAATCCTCTTCAAAAATTGTTGAATGAGAACAGTTCTGGAATAACCAATAAGTTACTCATGCTTTATGAATACTTTATTCTGCCTTTCTGTAGTAGTTGAAGCAGCTTTGGCACTTTTCAATTTGGAAATCTGTAAGACTGGCAGTTGATCATTAGTTCATACTTTTATCAAATATAATTCCAAAAATTAGGCTACTCTTACAATTTGTATCGTTTTGAAGGCAGTGCTTCAGTTCGAATCTGACAGAGTTCCTTTTATTTTATATACAGTTAGATTATCTTGAGTAATATGTATAAGCAAATACTTTTAAAGAAAGATGTTGCTACTTATTTTATATGCAAGTGCTGAGAGATGTCCTAGATATTTTCTAGGTATGTTCCATACCATTCTTTTTTTTTTTTTTTT